ATAATCTGAATTATGAGAACTTGGCAAATAGAAATAGAAATATTATAGCAAAAGACTGCTCCAACATCATGTCTTTATGTGAGACGTCATGAATCATGTCCCATAGGCTTCAGATGTAGGATCGATTGCATGTGCTATAATATTCATCTGTTCTAAATTTTTCGAAATGCCCAGAGCATTAAGAGGGAAAAGTACTAGAACTAGATATGACTAATTTGATTAAGCAATTGTCGACGACAATCTAAGGTTTACCAAAGATTGGTTGCTCAGTGACAGTTGGAAGTATAGTTGGAAGTATAGTGTTAATTTTGAAAGGACCGTATTGACATATTCTGAAAAAAGGCAACTCTTGTTCAGGAGTGATAGTCAAAATGGGAATATGGAAATGTTCCCCGTAGGTGGAAGTTATTCATTAAATCCGTGTAAGATTAGGAAACTGAATGCATGAAGGATGTTCAAAGGAATGTACTTTGAATTTGAGACTTCGTTTTCCATGCAGTGATCTCCGTTGGAATACTCTGTAATGTCTGTTGACAAGTCTTTGTGACTAGTGTGTATAATCATTACAAGAGGATCGATGCATATAAGTTTAGAATCTAACAGATTTCAGTAAATGGTAGGAATTTGGAATTCTTACATTTACAATAAGGATTTGGGATTGTGAAATGAGAATCATTGGAATTATGTTCAATCGATCTATTTCACAGAGTAAAGATCATAGACAAACTTAGTGTGAATACTTGGTGTATGGCATAACTAATGTTTGGAAAAACATAGTATGCATACTTGGTGTATGGCATGACTAGTGTTTAGAAAAAAACCATAGTGTACATGCTTGGAGCATGGGACAACTATTGTTTTAATTCAAGTATAAAGTTGATAGTTTGAAACAGTATGCAATGGATAATGTGTAATCAATATGGTGATAAATATAAGATGTTTTATTTATATTCATAAGTTCTGAGACCATATTTGATTCGATTATTCTTGTGTTTCACTTTGCATGTTTTGACTTCCAGAATAACTAGGTCATTCTTCCCGAATGACTAAGTTATTCAAACCATCCACAGTCGGTCATATGTTGGAAGTAGATATGAATCAAGACTGTCATGAAGCTGGATTGTAGATATCCAAGGTATGGGACATAGCAAGAGTTGCTGCAACATTCATGAGTGCTCATAAGTTCTGAGTATTGGATTCAACCCACGCTCACTGGTATCACTTCATGGAATTTATCTCGAGTGATAGTGAGACGGTAATATCATATAAGTCTTCAAACCTAGAGATATGACTTGTTGCCTATGAGTTGGTTATACATTGATTGTACGAAAACGCATTGGTAACTCGATGTTATAAAACGTGCCTTTGTGTATGATTAAACAAGTAGTAGAACAAGCATATGAGTAGAAGTTTATCTGTTCCTTCTTGGATTAAAAGCGATATCTGGGCCCCTCGATGATTTTGTGTTGACCAATATACCGGGCCCGGTCAGAACTAAGTTGATGTGTTCAAATAAGTTCTATGTCAAACAAATCGGAAATCGGGAAACAAACTGTTGGACAATAAGTAAGACATTGTTCCATGTATTTGTCCGGCTGATATCTAGAACAAAAGATTATATGATCACTTATCTTAAATGGCGTATCATCATCATCTCAGTTCCACGAGACCTTGAAAGAGCTACGATTGCTGATCGGTTCCTGAAGTCATTCTTGCAGTTAAGTTATTAGACTTATCCAAGTGGGAGACTGTTGGATTAGGTGTCTAAGTTCATAACTATTCCTGGAATGTAATTGACCAGGTTGGCATGGTCCATTTGGGTTGCATGACATTGTAACACTTGGATAGACTAAATGAGAGAAAGGACACTTAAGGATTATTAATATATTATAAGTTCTAATATATTAATAATATTATTTAATTAGTATTGATCAAAGAATTAATTTGGAATTAATTAAGTGATCAAAAGGAGACTAATTAAATATATGGGCTTGATTGTGTAAATCATCTATTCTTGTATAGTGGGCTAATGATCCATGGTTTGTATGGATTAGGTTAAAACCCATAAGGTGCTCCATGGATAATCCATGGAGGTTACAAACCCATGGATCATGGAATATGGAAAGCCATGACAATTAGGGTTTACATGGTGTAGCCCTACCTGTGCCACAACTATATAAAGAACCCTATGCAAGCAAAATCGGGACTATGACTACTACTTGTACAAGAAAGAGGGCTAGCCGATTTTGAGGTGTAAGTGAACTTCTCTCAAGGTCATTCCAAGTGTTGTGGTGTTGTGTGAGACATTTGAGGCATCACACTTGAGGTGCTAGGCTCACAAGGTTCTCAAGGAATCCAAACCACAAAAGGTATGTTCTTCTTCTAGCATTTATGTTTAAAAGTTCCCCATGCTATGCTAGATAGTTGAAGAACCTTGGAAAATCAATTTTGCATGTATCTTAGTAAAACATAGATCCAAGGTTTCTAGGGTTGCATGTACACCATAGGAGTGTTAGAATGCTCAAAACCCTTCATAAGCTTTGTTCTTACAGATTGTGGTTATGGTTTAAGTTACTTCCGTTTCGAAAGGAAAGGGTCTGACTTGATCGCAACGCATACTCCCGTGTTTTCCACAATATGTGATCTTTGGGAATGAACTTTGATAATTGTCTTATTTGAAATACTTTTAATGTTTGGATAAAGATACAATGGTGTTTTGATTATAATAAAAATACAATTTTTACCCTCTGAATTTCGAGATGTTACATCGGGCACCCAGATATGTCTGACAATATGTATGTTCTGTATGTGGTATTTTGGGGAAAACTCGCTAAGTTTTATGCTTACCCAGTTGTTTATTGTTTCAGGTATCATTAGTGATTGCGGGAAGGCAAATGTGGGACTGTACACACTCATCAGCAACTTGAAGATCTCCGCGTTTCCTATAATACTCTGACATTAATGAATGTAATTTCAAATAAATGGTTTTCTTAATTAATGGATTAATAAATTGAGAATTTTACCTTAATAAAAATGAAAAGCTTTGGTTGTGAAAATGGGACGTTACGCATATTCTATTAGTTGAACATCCAATTTGACCCCGTGTAACATCTCCCATGAATAAGAAATAGATCCTCCTTGATAGCAGGTACGTGTGCCCCAAATCTAAAAGTTGTGGACCGAAATAACTGAAGCCTTCTTCCCGTTAAACGGCGTATAGTATCTCAAACATTCCCACCATTGGCCTTTGAATTGAAAGACTTTTAAGACATGCCACATTAATGGGAAAAAGTTACAACCAAGTAAATAAAAACATTAAAAATTTATATTGAACAATAACAAATTATCGGGAAAACCTTAGAATTTTTCATGTCATAACCTACTAAAACAAACATTTTTGCAGGTCATAACTTGCTAAAACATAAATTTTCGCAGGTATCAACAGGCTGAAATAACTTCTTATATGCGAAAACCCAATACACATATCAACAAGGTTTAGTTTCCAGGTAGAAACATTATATATATATATATATATATATATATATATATATATATATATATATATACAGTGGCGTATCCACCATATACTTAGGTAGGTCCTAGGACCGACCTAAGTTTTCAATTTTATTTACATTGTATATAGTAGAAAAATTAGGAACTATCTTAGAAAAAATAGAGGACCTACCTTGAGTTTGGTTTTTTAAATTTTTTTTTCTTAAAAAACCATTTTAAAAAGAGAAAAATATAAGTTATTAGGGGCAATTTGTTATTTTAAATTATGAGATTGATAACAAAAAATGAACTATTAATTGACACTCTCAAAATATTAATAAATAAATAAGTTGTTCTAATAAAATGAAAGCCCACATGCCAAAGACTCTCACTCTCCGTTCACCGCTTTATCAATGGACTAATAATCAACTAGTTTTTCGTTAAACCATACGCATTTTTCAATTATATTTTAATCGGTTTTTTAAATTTTTAATCGGTGGCATAAGTACATGAGCCGATTGAACGGGTTCAGTTCTTTTAAGGTACATATGCCGACCCGACCCAACCACAAAAGTGTTGTTGATTTTTTTTTATTCGCCAATATATATATATATATATATATATATTATATATATATATATATATATATATATTATATATATATGATTCAGGTACATCGTCATTGTTTCCGACCATTTTTTCAAGAGAGAATTTGTAAGGTATCTGAAAATCTTTTGTAAGAATGAGAAATGAAAAAAAAAAAGGTTTATATACATCTAAATCCAAATTGAGCCCTAGTCCCATGACATTTACATAGCCCACAGAAAATCGTAGTCTTTCGTCCAAAATGATATCGTTTTTATAATTAAAATAAAAAACTATTCGCAACCCACTTGATTTTATTTTTGGTTTTTATTAAATTTTAGCTTTTTTTTTTTTTTTTTTGAAAAATATTTGGTAAGATACCCAAATAAAAATGAAGGGTTTTTACCATTGTAGCACAATAAAGTTTGACGAATTTACACATTTAGTTACTCAAGTATTTTTTGAGTTGAATTTTACCTATCAATTACACCATTATAAGACCTGATACAGAAACAGCCGGTTACTTGAGTGACTAAATGCGTAAATTCGCCAAACTTTGTTGTGCTACAGTGCCAAAAACAAACCCACATATGTGAAACCATGTCAGCATGTCACCCGTAAACCGGATACAATTTCCTTCAAACCCTTAATTAGTCGGTATTTCCTAACGTTAATGACCAATTGAGTACAAAAAATAATTGAGTAACTAAATATGTAAATTCACCAAACATTGTTGTGCAACAGTGCTAAAAACCAAAAAATGAAAGGTCGTATAAGTTTTCTTACTCGATTTTGTAAAAATCATTTTAACGCAAAAAAAAAAAAATCACGTATAAATGATCTTTTTATTACCTCTCTATGTAGTATGTAGTATTATATTATATATTATATTCTATTTACTATTATATTATATTAAATAAAAATGAAAGTGAAAATATTCAAGAGAAACGTGAAGATGAATCAAAAAACAATTGAAGCAAGGCGACCGCCACAGCTGCCATCCATCAACAAATCAAGTTGTAAGATTCATCTATACTTCCATTTCCATACCCCCAAATTTTAGGGTTTATAATTCTCATCAGCTCAATCCCCTTAAAATCAATTTCTTATTTCTAAAAAATCTCCATCAATTTATACACCCAACTACGGATAAATCATAGGGTTTGCACTTTGTTCCAAGTTGAAGATATGGCCATCATAGGCGACGCTTTACGACAAGCATTCATGCAGAAACACGAATACGAGAGTCTACGTGACGAGGATAAAGCTTGGACTAAGCTACAAAGACCGATCTTGATCTGTGGTTTTGCCTTCATCACATTCTCGATCTTCATTTCTACTATTATTAGCTTGAATATAATATTTCCGAGTGATCCCGGACGACGGCCGTTCTGCAGTGATCTGAGAATCCAGCCTCTGTCGATTAATTTCAGCAGTATTGGTGCTGCAGACGTTCGTATCGGTGGTGGCGAAGACCGCGTGGGTGGTGCTTTTTATCTTACGGATCAAGAGACTGTTGATTACTACTGGATGGTTGTGTTTGTTCCTTCCGCCATGGTTTCTGTGGTGTCTGCGGTTTATCTTGTGGCAGGTGAGCTCTGCGTCCTTTTGTGTTAATTGTAGTTTGAATATATCGAGCTGAAAAGAAGGGATAAGACAACGTGTTAAACGTTTTCTAAGTGTTATACAACATCATCTATTAGTTAACAGGTTAAGCAAACTTCTGTCATGAACACCTAGCTACAATAGTCACTTTAATTAACTGATCCATCTGATTTTGTCTAGCTGCAATAGTTTCATTGAAAAACACACATATAAACATCCCTTCAGTAATGGTATTGGTGGATCTTCACTTACCCTGTTGACACTTTAAAGCTATCTGTATATTCTTTATAAATTTGGTCACTATTGTTTAGTAATTACATATGGATTATGTTTCATCAAGTAATCGATTAAGTAGTTTGCAGGAAAGAGCTACCATGTGATGTTCATTGCATATGGTAGGGATTTATGCAAGAAAACTGAAATAACATTGAATAATAAGACAAATGTCATAAAGAAGTTCAGTAATTATAGTTAATTGTTACTAAGTTTTTTGGCATGCTTCCATTGATATGCAGGTATTAGTGTATCTTATACTGCTCCAACAAGACATGGATGCCTGAAGGTGGTTGAGAATAACTACTGTACTTCCAGGAGAGGTACCTTTAATACCCTTTTGACTTGTTTTCTGCTTATATTGAAGTGCATTTTGGCTCTTATGCTGTATACAAATAATAAAAGGCTCTTTCAAAAAGTTTATTCCCTACAAAATATCAGTTATGAACATACTATCATTTTAAAAAAAGATCCTTTCCAATATTCATTAATACATTATATTCCCTTACCATGATAAATTAGCTTTTTGTTTATGACATAAAAATTGACAAAATATTTTCATTTTGTTGCTACCAAAGATTGCTATTAGTCATTTGGTTCCACATAACTCATGTTGTTATTGGCTGCAAGGGTAAAAATCTCATTTTGTGTACTAGCATATCTCACCCATGGATCCAGTTATCATATCTATTGTCTTATTTTTTGCATCTCATGTCCAATCCTTTTGGTGTTCAGTTATAAAACTTTCAACTTAACATTTCAAAACACATATTTTGTCAAACGGGTAAAATAGTCATTTTCATCAATTGAACTTGTGCTTGCTGAGTTGGACAATTTAATATATCGTAAGACAATCGACAGCTGTAAGTCAAGCACACTTTAGTAGTTTATTTAGAAAACTACGTATGCATAAATTGATAAAGAGTGAAACGTTGTTGCATAAATTGGTAAAAAATGAAGCATGGTTTTACACAAAACATGTCTCTTATTTGTGCAAAAGACATAAATACCCTTGCCATTTCTCATACTTATTTTCATGATTTACAGGAGGGGTTAGATGTCTATCAGTTCTAAACTTAATATTCGCCATAATTTTCGGTCTTCTAGCACTATTTCTAGGTTCAACTCTCCTCACACTTGGTTCCCGGTGTTCGATCCCCTTATTTTGGTGCTATGAAATCTCATCATGGGGACTAGTGATCCTCTATGGCGGCACCGCCTTCTATCTCAGGCGGAAAGCCGCCACGGTCCTCGATGAAACTGAATTTTCCGGCCGGAATTTAGGGTTAGAGATGTTGGAAGCTAACACTGCGGAATTCACACCAGATGTTGAGAGGCGAGTAAATGAAGGGTTTAGATCGTGGATGGGAAGTTCGTATTTGTCGTCTGATGATGAAGATGAAGATGAGAATGATCCGAATGGTTATATGAACTTGTCTCGAACTAATTCGAGCAGACAAAGAGTGTGAAATGAAATCTGACTTAAACCGTAAACCCTGAACCCTAATTTGTAGTGTTTGATGTGATGAATATGAGAAATACTAACGGGATTTTGTGTGAACGGATGAGAAGTGAGGTGTTAGTAATGTGAATTATAGAAGGTGGAGAAATGGCTATTTGTTGTAGTTGAGATGTACAAAATTTTTAATTGTGAGAAATTGATTTTGTATTCCCACGTGGGCCGTTTGGTTGCTAGTTCTTGTTTTTTTTTTTTTTTTTTTAGTTTATAATTCTGAGGTTTTGGGAACTTGGTGATAGTTGAAGAAAGCTTGGAGTTGTTATTGGTAGTTGCGAAGGCTTAACATATGTGTTGATGATTTTTAGAATGGGCTTGGCTTTGATGTAAGATGTGCTCTGTTTCTCAAGTTGGATGTTTGTATCTATATAACCTGTTTTTGTTACATTTTAGAGTATTCTAGGGTTGTTTTTCTATGACAAAAGATGAATAGGGTATTTATGGCTTTGATCATGAGTGATGGAGAGTATATGAGTGGTACAGAGTGAGTTTATGTCTTATTAGGAAAAATGTATGTATTTTTTTTTGTCCTGTTATATTAGTCTTAGATACATGGCAAATACAACATGATATATATATATATATATATATATATATATATATATATATATATATATAGGTGATTAAATTGTTAAAAATATGTATATTTAATTTATGTTCGACAAATGAGTTGAAAAGTTAAATGGTCGTCGAAAGACCAATAAGGTTGGTGTGTGTACCTTCTTACTGTCTCTTATTTTTTGTTTGTCACTAGGCATGAGCAAACGGACCGAATCGGCCCGACCCGGAACAGGCCCGACGGTTCTACCGGTTTCGGGTCCGGTTTTTGTCGGGTTTTCGATTTTGGAACCGGTTTGATTTGACACGCTTCCTTACGGGGCTTGTAACTCATTCAATTTTTAACCAAATCAAGCGTTTTTATAGTCTAAACTTAATTACAAAACCTAAACTAAGTGTAGGAAAAAGATTCAGCGTTTTTATAGTCTTCCTTACGGGGCTTGTAACTCATTCAATTTTTAACCAAATCAAGCGTTTTTATAGTCTAAACTTAATTACAAAACCTAAACTAAGTGTAGGAAAAAGATTCAGATAAAAAAAAACTTAAGTTGAGTGAGTTATGCACATTTGAACAACAAAGTCAGATTACGTTTAATTGCTGTAACATAATTTTTTTTTGATTTGACGCACTTCCTTGCGGGGCTTGTAACTCATTCAATTTTTAACCAAATCAAGCGTTTTTATAGTCTAAACTTAGCTACAAATCCTAATCTACATGTAGGAAAAAGATTCAGGTCAAAACAAGTTAAATTGAGTGAGTTATGCACATTTGAACAACAAAGTCAGATTACATTTAATTGCTGAAACATAAAAAAAATTCTGATTTGACACCCTTCCTTGCGGGGCATGTAACTCATTCAATTTTTAACTAAATCAAGCGTTTTTATCGTCTAAACTTAACTAAAAATCCTAATCTACATGTAGGAAAAAGATTCAGTTCAAAACAAGTTAAATTGAGTGAGTTATGCACATTTGAACAACAAAGTCAGATTACATTTAATTGCTGAAACATAATTTTTTTTTGATTTGACACGCTTCTTTGCGGGGCTTGTAACTCATTCAATTTTTAACCAAATCAAACGTTTTTATAGTCTAAACTTAACTACAAATCATAATCTACATGTAGGAAAAAGATTCAGGTCAAAAAATGTTAAATTGAGTGAGTTATGCAACTTTCAAAATTTGAGTGAGTTATCCGGTCCGGTTCCCCGTTTTGGGCCGGTTCCAAAGACCGGTTATTACCGGGTCCCGGTTCCAAAAATTGACGAAATTATAGTATCGGTCCCGGCCCGACCGGTTCCATCGGGTTCCGGTACCGGTTCCGGCCGGTTCCCCGGTCCATATGCTCATCCCTATTTGTCACTCATCCCCATGTCATTTTCATCTCTTATTTCTCACTCTTCTTATTTTTTTAATATGTATAAATAATATATCAATATTATACATTATTTATAAGGAATTAAAAATCATATATTTTGATATTTTTCTTATAATCTATATATATATATATATATATATATATATATATATATATATATATATATATTCGTTTACACCCATTCATTTATGCTTGTATATATATATTCATTCTTTTTGTTTGTTCATTTATGCTTGTTTAACATTAAAACGGACATAAATAAACATAAACGAATATGAACATAATAATTTCTTAGAAAAACAAACAAACAAAAATAAATTTATTTATTTGTACGTTTGTATTTATTCATTTATTCAGTTAATTTTAGACGGACAAACATAACCAAACTTCATTCATGTAGTATTTAAAATTCCATTCCTTAACAGTTCTAAAGAGAAGGCCCAACTCATACTCCCTCGTCCCTCCCACATTTTATCATCTTAAGGCCCAACTTTGATAAGCACACACCCACACAGTCACACTGCGACATCTCATCGGCTTACTTCTTAGCGCAGTCGGAACCCTAATCTCTCTGCATCAACAATGGCGGCCGTCGGTTACGACTACGAAGATGGAATGCCTTCCTCCGCCGATGGAGGTTTGTCTTACGACCCTTCCTTCGTTCCCGACCCCGTCAAATCATTCGTCGTCCATCTCTACCGTCACATCCGGGAGAAAAACGTCTATGAGATCCATCAGATGTACGAGACTTCATTCCATACGCTAAGCGACCGTATGTTCAAGGATACCCCTTGGCCTTCCGTTGAAGCCGTTGCTCAGTACGTTGATAACGACCATGTGTTCTGCTTGCTTTACCGCGAGATGTGGTATCGCCACCTGTATGCTAGGTTATCTCCAACTCTCAAGCAGAGGATTGATTCTTGGGATAATTACTGCAGTCTGTTTCAGGTGTGCCCTATGATTTTCCTCTCATAGTGTTTTTCTCGGATTATAGCTGATACTCTGACGAGCTCATCAGAATTTTTGCACATAGATTGTTACCTGTGAGCTTATGAATGACCTTGTATAAACTATTGTTTTTATTTGTCGTGAAACCCCAAGGTTTTATCAAATTAGACTGTTTAGTCATGAGACCACATAAGCTTGAGATTTAAGCTGTTAAATCATAAAACATCTTTGAACTTGTGATGATTATCAATCTCAATATTCTTATACAAAGGTTATAATGATAAACTATAGCGACCTACTATAAATTCTACTACCAAATAGATAATGGATTCTTTATGGTTTGAGATTGGAACTAATGTGTTTCAAAATCTGGATTAATTTATCCCAATGGTTAATTCCGGCTCCAGGCTACAAGAACCTATATCAACCATGATCAAAGAGATTTACGATTAATTCATGCTCATGTGATTGATTTTGTATCATTGCAGGTGGTGTTACATGGTGTGGTGAACATGCAACTACCTAATCAGTGGTTGTGGGACATGGTGGATGAGTTTGTATATCAATTTCAGTCATTCTGTCAGTATCGTGCCAAAATGAAGAACAAAACTGAGCAGGAAATTGCTCTACTGAGACAACATGATCAGGTAAGCCACTCGATTATGTTTCAGGGTTATCATGGATGCATCAAACTAACTTCAAACTTACAGGGATACCTAATTCTGATGGAATACAATGTTCTTCATATTTTCACAGGCATGGAATGTGTATGGGGTTCTCAATTTCTTGCAAGCATTGATGGAGAAATCTTCGATCATTCAGATTCTTGAGCAGGAAAAAGAAGGTCTTGAACAGTTCACAGCTACAGATGGATATGATTATAATGGTGGAAGTAATGTTTTGAAGGTGTTGGGTTACTTCAGCATGGTTGGATTGTTAAGAGTTCATTGTTTATTGGGAGATTATCAAACTGGATTGAAGTGTTTACTTCCTATTGACATAAGTCAACAAGGTGTTTACACTAGTGTCATTGGAAGTCACATAACCACCATCTATCATTATGGGTTTGCCAATCTTATGTTACGAAGGTATTTTATATCTCTATATCTTCAAACTTCACCTTTTTTCTTTGCAAATATGTTTTAAAACTATGCTTACAATTTAAAATGATCATTTGTTGTTTTCATGAGAAACTGAATTATGATTTTGCATTAATAATTATGCAGGTATGTAGAGGCAATACGCGAGTTCAACAAAATCCTTTTATACATCTACAAAACTAAGCAGTATCACCAGAAATCGCCACAATATGAGCAAATTCTAAAGAAGAATGAGCAGATGTATGCTCTGTTAACAATCTCCCTCTCTCTTTGTCCCCAAGTCAAACTTGTTGATGAAACAGTCAACTCTCAACTGAGGGAGAAATATGGTGAAAAAATGTCGAGAATGCAACGATATGATGATGAATCATTTGCACTCTATGATGAGCTTTTCTCATATGCATGTCCCAAATTCATCACGCCTTCTGCACCAAGCTATGAAGAGCCACTTGTAAACTACAACCAGGTGCAGTGTTTATCTTTTTATTCGACACTAGTTCTAGACAGAAGGGTAAAATGGTCATTATAGTCATTTTCATTCGGTACAAAAACTAAAGTCTTTGATCTTACAACACTTAAAATACCTCATGGGGAAAAAGAAACGTGTCGTAGTTTGTTTTTGTGAATTTGTATGTTATGGCTGCATATAGACAGAAGGGTAAAATGGTCATTTGTTGTCATTGAGATGGTTCATTCAGTTTAAAAAAAGAAACTCTTTGTTGAAACAACACTTGCATACACTAGACAAACATCATTTATCTTTACTGCACTGAATGGGAAGATGCATATAGACAGAAGGGTAAAATGGTCATTTACTGTCATCTAGACAGTTCATTCTGTCCAAAAAAAGAAAGTCTTTGAAGTTTGAACATAGAACACCTACCCTTGATCATAAAAAGGCCCTAACTCTTTTGTTGTGGATCTATATGTTAATCAGATGCATATAGACAGAAGGGTAAAATGGTCAATTTACACTGGGAAATAAAAGAAACATGATGTAACTGTGTTGATTTATTTGTTATAGGATGCATATAGGCTTCAGTTAAAGCTCTTCCTTTATGAAGTAAAGCAGCAGCAACAACTGTCAGTTGTGAGGACTTTCTTGAAAGTCTATTCAACTATTTCTCTTGAGAAGCTTGCATCCTACATGGAAGTAGATGAATCC